TTGATGTTGACGTGGCTGTACTGAGACTGGTCTGACTTTGGGATTATTCATAATCTTTACTCTCTCATCTTGCAGTGCCCTTGATTGCTGTCAATTCGGTCTGCATTGTGTTGTTGGTGCTGTTTGGCTGAAGAGAAGACTGGACTGAATTTGGATGCTGAACTAAGGGGGTCAGGGGGATGGAGGAGGGACCCTACATGCGCCTCGAAGAAGAGTACACACACGTTTATGTATCTCAAAGATTCAGTTTTACATTTGATTTCCTTTATTATTTTTATTCCTTACCTCGTTTGTCAAACCTGTTGGGCTAGGTCAGGCTAAGTGACAGTTCCGATACAAGAACAATCTGGGTTTACTACATTCAGTTGTTAGTCAATGATATAGCACAAAGCAGTCCAAAAGGGTCTACGGTTGCTGTTGGAAGATTTCTACATTGTAAAAGGATCATTTACTTTGATCTCATGATTCAACTTTCTTTCTCCTTATTTGAAATTGTGGTTCATCACAGTTCTGATGGCATATTCTGTTGCTTTTAACATATTCCTGAATAAAAAGTTAAGTGTAGGTAATTTGAACAGACCTACTATAAAACACCATTAGTCGGGATGTCATTTTGTGTCCCATGCGGACAATTTAATTATGTATGACTTTTTCTAAGTAACTTTCTATGAATTACTTGAAAAAATAAAGATTTTAAAAAATCTAACACTTTTGAGTTTGTTCATAACCCAACGACATTAGCTACTTTTTATTTTTTTTATTTTAGCAGACACTCATCCAGAGCGACTTACAGTAGTGAGTGCATACGTTTTCATACTTTTTTTGTACTGACGTACATGGCATTCTTTTTTTGTCCCAGAACACACTCCCTACTTACACACAACTTTTCTTTGATCATGGCTGTGTCAAAAGTGCAGTAAGGAGACAGAAGAGACCTGACTCAAAATATATATTTGTTAAATGGCTAATTGTTTGCATGTAAACAAAATGAATCCTCCCTATTTTAAATCTCAATATTTTTAGCAATGCTGTGTATGAATGGCATGGCATCAATCAGTGCACTCTTGAACTAGCTGCAAACTTGAGCTCAAGAGTGACCAAATATAGTGGTTGCTTCTAGTTGCTTTTAGCAACACGAGTGTATTACATACACTCTTGTTGCTTTCAATTGTATTGGTTGCACAAAAACTTAACTGTCAGTAGGCAGGACAGTTGGTCATGACGACGGGGGAATAGAGCCCCACAGTGGAGGTGTCATAATACCCATAAAACCTAACGGTCAAACAGGGAAATGGTTCCAATCATATATTTTCCCATAGGGTATTTTAGAAACACTTAAAATAAGGGCTGTGTTTCGTGTAGGCTTACCCTGGCGTGACGTTTTGATAACCATGCAAATCTCTCTCGGACAAGGTGACTTTTATCAATATAGACTTGGAGTCACGCAATGATATGGTGTATGGTCCTCCCACTACGACTCGGGAAAGCCTGCAGTTTATTATGCTACAGATTAAATAAATTATGAGCTTGATGCTCCTTTCCAATAAATATCGAGGGTCTTATTCTGGTGATATGATGATCGATGCTTGGCTGCCATTTGACAAATAAAAATAATCTTGCTCTTTTGTCCATAATAATCTCATCATATAGGCTATACCCGCACTGTATCTGCGAGCTGTTGGCTAGAGCACGTGCCAAGACCAGAGTAGGCACATTCGCTATATAATGCATTTTTTTGTGACAAAACCATCAGTAGAGTTGGAAACCCATTGTAACTCGGTACATGGGAATTTAACCGCAAAAGTTTTTTTTATGTGCACTACGTCATCACGCACATCCTTCCCACTGGGCACAGACGTCAATTCAACGTCCATTCCACGTTGGTTCAACAAAATGTCATTGAAATTACATGGAAACAACGTTAATTCAACCAATGTGTGCCCAGTGGGTTTTAACTGCAACAAGTCAATTTGATGGAAGCACATGTTTTTATTCATGTTTGACTGACAGACCTCAAGCTAAATACCATGCTATATGTAAACTGAGCAGACTAGCTAATGAAATAGATAGGATTACGAGTAGAATAACAGGTTTTCAGATACAAGAACTACAGTCATGCTGATGGACTAGATCTCCCTCTCTCTCTCTTCTCTCAATTCAATTCAATTCAAAGGGCTTTATTGGCATGGGAAACATATGTTTACATTGCCAAAGCAAGTGAAATAGATAAAACAAAAGTGAAATAAACAACAAAGATTAACAGTAAACATTAGACTCAAAAGTTCAAAAGAATAAAGACATTTGTCTATATACATTGTAACGATGTGCAAATAGTTAAAGTACAAAAGGGAAAATAAATCAACATAAATATGGGTTGAATTTACAATGGTGTTTGTTCTTCACTGGTTGCCCTTTTCTTGTGGCAACAGGTCACAAATGTTGCTGCTGTGATTGCACACTGGTATTTCACCCAATAGATATGGGAGTTTATCAAAATTGGATTTGTTTTCGAATTCTTTGTGTCCTGTTATACACTGAGTGTACAAAACATTAGGAACAACTCGTGGCATGAACTCTACAAGGTGTCGAAAGCGTTCCACAGGGACGCTGGCCCATGTTGACTCCAATGCTTCCGACAGTTGTGTCAAGTTGTCTGGATGTCGTTTGGGTGGTGGACCATTCTTGATACACAAGGGAAACTGTTGAGCGTGAAAAACCCAGCAGCGTTGCAGTTCTTGACACAAACCGGTGCACCTGGCACCTACTACCATACCCTGTTCAAAGGCACTTAAATCTTTTGCTTGCCCATTCACCCTCTAAATGGCATACATATACAATCCTTGTCTCAATTGCCTCAAGGCTTAAAAATCCTTATTTAACCTGTCTCCTCCCCTTCATCTACACTGATTGAAGTGGATTTAACAAGTGACATCAATATGGGATCATAGCTTTCACCTGGATTCACCTGGTCAGTCTATGTCATGGAAAGACCAGTTCCTAATGTTTTGTACCTACATTGTTTCATACCTCATAATGCTCTCTACTAACCCAGGAACATCAGCGAAGAGACGTTTTCAAGATGTGCACATAGAGAGTCGGACGAAAATCAAAGCCTGTGTGGCAGTGGCACAATGTGTTACGGATGTGGTGCAGAGCCACTACTTTCTGGGTTAACTTGCTTAGACCTGCATTTATTTTTCAAGCCACACTGCATATGGCTATGCCATCTACGCACTAGTTGTCAGGGATGAGGGTGGGTAAGGCTTTCCTGTGGCAACTTTCATAATGAGCCAAGAGACCCAGGAAAATGTAGCATTCTGCTTGAGGAAGATCAGGAATGCTGCACAAGAATTTGAGACCAGGTATTTGTATTGCATTAAGATTAATGACTGTAGCTCTACAGTACATGTAGGCTAACTACAGTGCCTAGAAAATCTGTAGACAGTGTGTATGTGTGCAATATGAGTGATCTTTAGGGCCTTTATGGTGGACAAGGACATGAAGGAAGTGGGGGCTACAAAATAAGTGTTCCTAAATGCCGACGTCTTTCTGTGCTGGTATCACGTCTAGCAGGTAATTATTATTATGAGAATGTTTTTAAAAGAACGCTTTTGCCATTAATCATGTTCACTTTTAGGTTAGGAAAATAAAAGTATACACTGAATGATAACGTTATCTTTTTTCAGGCTGTAAACCGGTGGATTACAACAAAATAATCAGGCATTACAGGAATGGACCACCTGGATGACTGCATCACATACTGGAAGTACCATTATGTTTTTCTGTCAATACACTTTACAGGATAAAGACTTTGAAGACACTTCAACAACACTGGAGGAAGTACTTCCGTATCCTTTTGTCCAGGCCTACCTGAGGAAGTACTGGCTTCCTTGTGCCATGAGAATAGAAACACCAACAATCTCTTAGAGAGGTATTAAAATACATTATTGTCTGTTCCATGGCCATTTTAATTCATTGATTGTTGAAAAATAACAAACCAGTATACATGTCCAGTCAGGATCTTATACTGTACCTGTCCACCCCAGCAAAACCCAAAATATAAGGAATTATTCCTCTGTTAGGAACTTCTGTTATCATACCAGTTTTGTTATATAAACAAATGATTTAACACTAACATGCTGATCATTGTCAGTCCTTTTCTTTGAAGTATTGTTTTGTGTTCCATCATGGTCTTAGAATACCATATTACTGTATGTTGTAGATTCTTCCTCCGACTGAAATATCAGTTCCTGAAAGGCACAGCCAACCAGAGATTTGACGATTTCCTGAAACTCCTAACACGTCAGGTATGTTTTGTTCAGGATGGACATTACTGCCTCAATTCTATGTTTGACTGTCAGAATTTGCATTGCAGTGCTCAGTGCTCAGCTAATCACTCTCTTATTAGTTGGCCCTGTCTGCAGTGCAGACATTAATCTTTCATCAATTTTAATCCTTTCAATCTCATCATTCGATTATTGTAAAAAGGTTGTCAAATGATCACAATAAGTGGGTTGTTTGGTTACTATAAGCAAAGTATTTAAACCGGGTAGTTTGGGTCCTGGATGCTGATTGACTGAAAGCCGTGATATTTCAGACAATATACTACGGCTATGATGCAGAAATACTTGTTTACTGTTCTATTTATGTTGGTAACCACTTTATAATAGCAATAAGGTACCTCGGGGGTTTGTGGTATATGGCCAATATAGTCGGAAGTCTGAGATTTCCCAGTTCCCAGTTGTTTTGAACGCGGCATTCCTCCATACAATTGAAAGCAACGCTAGTGTATGTAAATACACCCGCATCGCTAAAAGCACCTAGCTTCTCATCGATTTCCTGAAAATGGGAAATATTCTGATACGTTTTTTCATTGCTGGGCTACCAGCGTGTGCCATATATTTTCTTTATACAAACATTTATTGCTTTTATAAACTACTCAAAGCTAATGTCGTGTTTGACAGTCAAAGGATTTTATGTTTTGCCTACCTTTTTCTCAGATTGTTGTCATAGCTCTTCTTAAAAGACAGGGCCATTTTTACTCCTGCGATGGTGATGTCAAAGGCAGAGTTGCCTTCACCATCTTCAACTGCAGGTAAACTGATTTCTCTTGACAATGTAGCAGTCAAATTTGTTCTAGGGCTGATATAATTTCAAACAGCACGCTGCCAACTAAAATGGTTGTTTATTCGTTCATGTTTGGAACAATTATCTTCAATGTGCTGATGTTCTTTCTCGTATAGGTTCAACAAGGATCTACTGAGGAGGTTCTGTAGTGCTGCTGGATATGGCTGGGACTACCCAGACAATGAGTTCAGGGATATCACTCTGTGTTACCCAGAGACCCTCTGTCTGCGGCTGCTTGTCATGGTCATACACTGTATGACCGTGACACCCCTTCAAATCAGTGGATTCAATTATTTCAGCCACACCCATTGCTGAAAGGTGTATAATATCTAGCACACAGCCATGCAATCTCCATAGACAAACATTGGCAGTAGAATGGCCTTACTGAAGAGCTCAGTGGCTTTCAACGTGGCACCGTCCTTTTGTTCACCCGACCTAGAATACCTCACAATCAAATGCCGACCGCATTATCTCCCAAGATAATTTTCCTCCGTTATAGCCATTGCCGTTTATATCCCCCATCAAGCCGCTACCACGACGGCCCTCAAAGAACTTCACTGGACTTTATGCAAACTGGAAACCACATATCCTGAGGCTGCATTTATTGTAGCTGAGGATTTTAACAAAGCAAATTTGAGGACTAGGCTGCCGAAGTTCTATCAACATATCAACTGTAGTACTCGCGCTGCTAAAACACTGGACCACTGTTATTCAAACTTCCGCAATGCTTACAAGACCCTCCCCCGCCCTCCTTTCGGCAAATCTGACCACGACTCCATTTTGCTTCTCCCTTCCTATAGGCAGAAACTCAAACAGGATGTACCCGTGCTAAGGACTAGTCAACGCTGGTCTGACCAATCGGAATCCACGCTTCAGGATTGCTTTGATCACACGGACTGGGATATGTTCCGGGTAGCTTGCGAAAATAATTTAGACGAATACACCGATACGGTAACTGAGTATATCAGGAAGTGTATAGGAGATGTCGTACCCACTGTGACTATTAAAACCTACCCAAACTAGAAACCGTGGATAGATGGTATCCCGAGTGGCGCAGTGGTCTAAGGCACTGCATCGCAGTGCTAGCTGTGCCACTAGAGATCCTGGTTCGAATCCAGGCTCTGCCGTAGCCGGCCGCGACCGGGAGACCCATGGGGCGGCGCTCAATTGGCCCAGCGTCGTCTAGGGTAGGGGAGGGAATGGCCGGCAGGGGATGTAGCTCAGTTTGTAGAGCATGGCGTTTGCAACGCCAGGGTTGTGGGTTCGATTCCCACGGGGGGTATGAAAAAAAAATAAAAAATGAAAAAAAGTGATGTATGCACTAACTGTAAGTCGCTCTGGATAAGAGCGTCTGCTAAATGACTTAAATGTTAAATGTAAATGTAGATGGCAGCATTTGCGCAAAACTGAAAACGCAAACCACTGCATTTAACCATGGCAAGGTGACTAGGAATATGTCAGAATACAAACAGTGTAGTTACTCACTCCGCAAGGCAATTAAACAAGCAAAACGTCAGTATAGAGACAAAGTGGAGTCGCAATTCAACGGCTCAGACACAAGACGTATGTGGCAGGGTCTACAGACAATCACAGACTACAAAAGGAAAACCAGCCACGTTGCCGAGACCATCGTCTTGCTTCCAGACAAGCTAAACACCTTCTTTGCCCACTTTGAGGATAACACAGTGCCACCAACGCAGCCCGCTACCAAGGACTGTGGGCTCTCCTTCTCCGTGGCCGACGTGAGTAAAACATTTAAACGTGTTAACCCTCGCAAGGCTGCCGGCCCAGACGGCATCCCTAGCTGCGTCCTCAGAGCATGTGCAGACCAGCTGGCTGGTGTGTTTACGGACATATTCAATCTCTCCCTATCCCAGTCTGCTGTCCCCACATGCTTCAAGATGGCCACCATTGTTCCTGTACCCAAGAAAGCAAAGGTAACTGAACTAAACGACTATTGCCCCGTAGCGCTCACCTCTGTCATCATGAAGTGCTTTGAGAGACTCATCAAGGATCATATCACCTCTACCTTACCTGCCACCCTAGACCCACTTCAATTTGCTTACCGCCCCAATAGATCCACAGACAATGCAATCGCCATCACTCTGCACACTGCCCTATCCCATCTGGACAAGAGGAATACCTATGTAAGAATGCTGTTCATTGACTATAGCTCAGCATTCAACACCATAGTACCCTCCAAGCTCATCATTAAGCTTGAGACCCTGGGTCTGAACCCCGCCCTGTGCAACTGGGTCCTGGACTTCCTGACAGGCCGCCCCAGGTGGTGAAGGTAGGAAACAACACCTCCACTTCACTGATCCTCAACACTGGGGCCCCACAAGGGTGTGTGCTCTGCCCACTCCTGTACTCCCTGTTCACCCATGACTGCGTGGCCAAGCACGCCTCCAGCTTAATCATCAAGTTTGCAGACGACACAACAGTAGTAGGCTTGATTACCAACAATGACGAGACAGCCTACAGGGAGGAGGTGAGGGCTCTGGGAGTGTGGTGCCAGGAAAATAACCTCTCACTCAATGTCAACAAAACAAAGGAGATGATCGTGGACTTCAGGAAACAGCAGAGGGTGCACCCCCCTATCTACATCGACGGGACCGCAGTGGAGAAGGTGGAAAGCTTCAAGTTTCTTGGCGTACACATCACTGACAAACTGAAATGGACTACCCACACAGACAGTGTGGTGAAGAAGGCGCAACAGAGCCTCTTCAACCTCAGGAGGCTAAAGAAATTTGTCTTGGCACCTAAAACCCTCACAAACTTTAATAGATGCACAATTGAGAGCATTCTGTCGGGCTGTATCACCACCTGGTACGGCAACTGCATTGCCCGCAACCGCAAGGCTCTCCAGAGGGTGATGCGGTCTGCACAACGCATTACCGGGGGCAAACTACCCGCCCTCCAGGACACCTACAGCACCTGATGTCACAGGAAGGCCAAAAAGATCATCAAGGACATCAACCACCCGAGCCTCTGCCTGTTCACCCCACTATCATCCAGAAGGCGAGGTCAGTACAGGTGCATCAAAGCTGGGGCCAAGAGACTGAAAAACAGCTTCTATCGCAAGGCCATCAGACTATTAAACAGCCATCACTAGCACATTAGAGGCTGCTGCCTATAGACATAGACTAGAAATCACTGGCCACTTTAATAAATGGAACACTAGCCACTTTAATAATGTTTACATATCTTGCATTACTCATCTCATATGTATATACTGTATTCTATACTATTCTACTGTATCTTAGTCCATGCCTCTCTGACATCGCTCGTCCATATATGTATATATTCTTAATTCATTCCTTACTTAGATTTGTGTGTATTGGGTATGTGTTGTGAAATTGTTTGATATTACTTGTTAGATATTACTGCACTGTCGGAGCTAGAAGCACAAGCATTTCGCTACACCCACAATAACATCTGCTAAACACGTGTATGTGACCAATAACATTTGATTTGATTTGGAGGAGGAATAATGGTCTGGGGCTGTTTCATGGTTCAGGCTCCTTAGTTCCAGTGAAGGGAAATCTTAACGCTACAGCATACAATTACATTCTAGACGATTCTGTGCTTCCAACTTTATGGCAACAGTTTGTGGAAGGCCTTTCCTGTTTCAGCATGACAATGCCCCCGTGCAGAAAGTGAGGTCCATTCAGAAATGGTTTGTCGAGATCGGTGTGGAAGAACTTGACTGGCCTGCACAGAGCCCTGACCTCAACCCCATCCAAAACCTTTGGGATGAATTGGAACGCCGATTACGAGCCAAGCCTAATCGCCCAACATAGACACATCAGAGCCAGATGAAGACAGTGGATATCAATGTTCCCTGGACTACAGGGCTGAAGTTTGTGTGGGCTTTCCCTACTACTCTCCACATTTTCTCCTCCTAACTCTTCCTGCCAAATTCTCTGGCTACAGATATCCCCATCTCTGTCACCGCCCAGTTCAAGAAGCCGTTGTTAGTTCCAGGAATAGTGACCATCAAGTTTTAGGAGATTGCACTTGCGCAATCCTCTCCAGTGTGTCAGCTTCCAAATGGAGCAGTACGGGAGGAAGATACCTCACGTCATGGGACAAAACTGCAGGACTACAGTAGAGGAAGTGAATTAAGATGCTCAGTTATAACATTGTATAAATATCATGTAGATGAATTTGTATCATTACGAACCGTCTCGTAGCCCGTAACAAAGAGGGAGACAACACGGAGATAAAGGAATAACAAAAATATATTTATTAAATAAAGTCAACTATGTACACAAGTAACAAAGGTGTGTGTAGTCAGTAGTGTAAGTGAGTGGCTGCATGCATAGACAGTGAAAATGAGGGGTGTTGAGAGGTGCCAAAACAAATGAACACAAAGAAGCCCCAAATTGCCACAACGAAAACAACAGTCTGTCTGCATGGAGAGAGTCTCCTCGATGTATGGGGGAAAGGTGTATTTATCCCCGGGACACACCCGAGCCCAAGTGTTTCCCATTTCGCTGACGACCCTCCCAGCTCTGCCCACTGACATCCTATTAAGGAAAACAAGAGCAGAGAGAAATAATTCGGCAGACAGAGTGGGAGGGTCGTCACAGTATGAATCTCATCTTTGCCAATATGTGGCATCATAGTCAGTGTGGCATAGACTTTATGGTCCAGCAGGTGTTTTACACAAATGCATCTTCAATCCAAAGTACCCCAATACTGCTACCCTGTAGAACAGATATTTGCATCAAACAAGAACTGAGGTGTAAAGGCATTTTCTGTGTCCTCCTCTACAACTCTAATGCTGCTATGTTCACAGAAGCATAGGCTACAGTACAAGACTTCTGCTAATGCAGGCATGATCCCTACAGGGAATGGAGACTTTTGAATATTTTATATCCTTGTTCACTGCCTTCATGTATGTGAAAGTATTTTCTCTTGTATTATTCATTGTAAAACATTTGGTTATATGGGACGAAGAGAAGGAATTGTCATGCTTCCCTGCACTAGTGTGATGATTCTTAGAGGGGGAGACTGTTCCTAACATGTTCTCCCTGAGGTGTAGACAGGGTAAATATGTAGAGGAACATCAACAGTACTGTATCACGGAAATGTTTTGTAGAGATCCATTAATTAAACTATACTAATGTTTAATGTCAGCGTCTACTCAAGCATCTTTTCTGAGTGGAGATTAGATTTTGTCTAGTATGTAAATGCTCAATAAATATGACTAAAATGAATTGTAGTTTCAGTTCATGTGGTGAAGGAATCATATTTTTGTGAGTGGATTAGGTGGTGTAAAATCATTATATTGTCTGCATGCCCATAGAGATGTAATTCTGCTGTTGTAGAGGAAATATCATCTTTAATATGTGATCAGAAGCTCAGATCTCTTCCGCCTTACTGTATGTGGTGGTCGTGTGAGCGTAATCAGTGGAGCATCCCATGACTTCCTTTCCTTGCACAAATAGTATATGTATTTTCTGAGTGCATGAGATGAGGGAAGGAGAGGGGAGGGGGTTGTGAAGAAAGGCATCTCTGTTTGTAGACCTTCATATCACTGGATAACTAAACAGCGCCTGACAATATTTACATTCTGACTGTCCACTGATCAAATCCTGCCAATATGTCCTACATGTGATGTGACGTGATTTACATTAACCCCCTGACATCTTGAAGAAGAAGCTTGAAGAAGGTTGACTGCTCAACTGAGGACTACACAACCTTTGGTAAAACATTTATTTATCAACATTGCTCTGTGATTGTTGTTGAATATGATTGAGGAAACAGTAAATCATACCTATAACTTTATTGTAGGTAACATAATGGCATGGTTGGTCTTACTACAGCTTATTATGATGTGTAGCAAAGCTTTGAATGAATCATACTTCTGTTTTTTGTTGCAATGAAAATACACCTAATTCCACATTTTCTTGTTCCCGACTCAGTGACCACAAAGCAGCATTTGCACCTCATGTATCATCATGCAGAGACAGATGACTGGATTCTGGAACTATTCAAGGACATATGAACAGGACTATCCACTATTTTAAAGGTAAGTCCCAAAATGAAAATGTATTAGCTTTGATAGCTTTGTTATACACAATCAGACTTTGTGCAACTGTTTCTAACTTGAAATGCAAGCCAGAAAGCACACTGATGCTTTACCAAATGGGTGTTCACTGGGACATTATTGGGACCCCATTTTCCTTCCACATTTGTCTTCACAGTCAGTTGTAACATGCCGTTATGACTTAATACCAGGAGTGAAAGTACATTGAACACACATATAAACACAACATGTAAGGTGTTGGTCCCATGTTTCATGAGCTGAAATAAAAGATCCCAGAAATGTTCCATTCGCACAAAAAGCGTATTTCTCTTTTTGTGCACAAATTTGTTTACATCCCTGTTAGTGAGCATTTCTCCTTTGCCAAGACAATCCATCCACCTGACAGGTGTGGCATATCAGGAAGCTGATTAAACTGCATATATCATTACACAGGTGCACCTTGTGTGGGGACAATAAAAGGCCACTCTAAAATGTGCAGTTTTGTCACACAACACAATGCCACAGATGTCTCAAGTTTTGAGGGAGTGTGCAATTGTCATGCTGACTGCAGGAATGTCCACCAGAGCTGTTGCCAGATAATTTAATGTTCATTTCTCTACCATAAGCCGCATCCAATGTCGTTTTAGAGAATTTGGCAGTACATCCAACTTGCCTCACAACCGCAGACCACATGTATGGCGTCATGTGGGGGAGCGGTTTGATGATGTCAACATTGTGAACAGAGTGCCCTATAGTGGTGGTGGGGTTATGGTATGGGCAGGCATAAGCTACTGACAACTAACACGATTGCATTTTATTGATGGCAATTTCAATGTAGGAAATACCGTGACCAGATCCTGAGGCCCATTGTGAGGCCCATTTTTTTAAGGTGTCTGTGACCAACATTGGCAAATCTATATTCCCAGTCATGTGAAATCCATAGATTAGACCCTAATGAATTTATTTCAGTTTACTGATTTCCTCATACGAACTGTGACTCAGTAAAATCAATGAAATTGTTCCATGTCCATTTATATTTTTGTTCAGTATAGATTCATTTTCTTACAGGTATGGGACACCCAAGTGGCGCACGAATTTTTTTTATACTACAAAAACTACATGGTAGCCTACTCTGCTGACAAACAGATCAATTAAAAACGATGTTGTCTGATCCATATAATCGGCCTTCGAAAAGGGGAGACAAATACAATTACATCCATCTAAACTGGAGGACGAAATTATTGTCCAAAAACAAACAAAAGTGGCACTGACCCAATGATAGACAATGAATATGCACACTCACCGGGGATATGGCCGATGTTCTCCACTGGTGCCAATAAGATAGGCTACTGTTCGCTCAATTAAGTTACAAATGTTGATAGGCTAACTTAACGACAGATTGGAGTCTTTTCATTGTCATTTCTTTACAGCAATAGCCATTTGCTTTCCAAACAGTTTTTCCACGATTGTATTTTTAAATATTGCGATATGCCTGGCTGGGTCTCTCTGCTTTTCACTGAAAGGTGCAATTTAACAATCATCTATTTGGTATTTGCAGCGCGCGCTGCCCAAATTGCGGGCCCTTCCGACTGTAGGCTATGCCATTTAAAACGATCCACAGCTTTTTTTTTTTGAGAAGCTATTAATCGCCAAATCATGCTTTCTGGTGTAGTTGCCTATTTTGAATTATTTTTATTTATTTATGTATATACAGGAGTAAGAAAATTAGGCTATATGATTTTGGCAATTCATTTTACTTTAGCCTTATGGACACGGCGCCTATGCCTTTTAATGTGGTGTAAACAACCAGTCATGATGTTTTCATCTGATTGTCAAACGATCACTGAACAAAGGCGCTCCTGTATGCTACCCGCGCACATTTTTTCACTCACAACATCATTTCAGCATCCAAATCCCAACAGTGCACTATGCACCCGCAATTTGTTGAATGGAAAGGGACATCAGTTACAAAACACCTATGTGTAGTTTAATGAAATTCTGCGATTGTCATTAGGCCTACACTTGTAGCCTTAATTGATGCAACCACTGTTGTCAACGGGCGCCTCGGTCTCCGCCTCATCTCCTCCTTGTCCGCCAACGTTTCGGCCACTGCGCCTTAACAAAATGTACGTTTTCTCCTCAGCGCCTTAAGAAAATGTAAGTTTTCTCCTCAAACCACAACGCAATTTGGAGCGTATACTACCCGTTTTCCAGTAAATTGGCAAATGTTTCATGTGGCTGACATGCAGTAATGTTAAATAATGGTGTAATCGCCTATAGTTTTTTGGGCATGTTGTATTAATTGTGATAGGCTCACGTTTTACCAGTATGGCGTACCCCCACTATATACTGGAATACCGCCTTACTTTCACCCCTGCTTAATACTCTCTTCTGTGGATAGCAGAACCTATTGTTCAACTACTGTACTGTATGTGCAATGTCACAGCATACTCTCTTACAATATCATGCAATAATTGTGTAATTTCAAATCATATTTTCATTATTAATCAATTTTCCCTCGACCACTCAGTCTTTTAAAAAAGTGTTATTCATTAATGGAGTCCCTATTCTGTCATGCTTAGAACAGTCAAGTGTAACAGCGCCAGTCCATTAAACTATGGAATGCATTCCAGTTAGTGTGTCTGGAATGGCAGAGCCCTGCAAATGACTAAAAGCCTTAGCTATGTCTGGTTGGATGATAGTGTGGTTAAATGTCCCATCATGCCCTGCTCACTGGGAACACACTGGTTGAATCAACGTTGTTTCCACGTCATTTCAATGAAATTACGTTGAACCAACGTGGAATAGAAGTTGAATTGTCGTCTGCGCCCAGTGGCTAGTACCGTTTTCCCTCAATTTAGATTATGTAAGGCTTTTAGGGGCCAACTGTAGAAGGAGCAATGTTTGCATCATCCCATTACAACAATTACCACAACATCTATTAACCAATTGCTAGACTAACAAATTCATATC